TTATAAAAACTAATAGATTCAAACAAATTAGAACTTAAAATGTAACTATATCTTAGAGAAACATCAAGTGAGGAATTACCTTCTGCAGGTATCTAACAGGGTTCGGTGGGGTAATATCCGTTGCGTCATAACTTCACAGCTGCTTCGGTTAGGCTTCCTTCGAAATCATCGAGGGAAGATTTGTTGGATGTGGCATTTCTCAACTCTTTACTAGGGATTGCATAAACCTTTAAATATGATTGAGTAATTTGTGTTTCATTTTCTTTATGAAGTGTTAACAAATTTTAGTTAGACTGCCCTAATTACTTCTCCTCTGTTACGTCCGAAGAAAATATTGAATTTATTTATCACTATCAGGGTATAAATAATATATATGAGACATATAACTTTTCTATAATATTAGTCGTCAAATGCCTAGGAAAAGTTTATATAGATGGTGTCCACTTGAACTCCTACTTCGAATGCACTACAAAGTTGACTCTTGTACTCCAACAAATTGGTGAGCGTTAATTTTCCTTTAACAAAACCATGCTACTCGGGCGTAGGTAATTGTTTGGGATGATTATCTATGGACACATATACTAACGACTCGAATAACTTCGCAAAGCAAGACAAAGTGCTTATCGGCCTGTAATTCTCACACCTTGACCTGTCTCCAGACTTGTGCACAGGCACTACATGCGCTGTTTTCCAAGCTACAGGAAACAAGCCAGAGTGCAGCGATTTGTTAAATATGATTGGCAAAGGAATACCTAAATCCCCACCCAACCGTTTGACCAAAGGGAGATATGCCGTCTGGCCCCCTCGCTTACATCTAACTTTCATATTTGGCTTTGGATTTCCTTAGATGCAAGAGATTCCTTAGATGAATCGGCATACGGGGCAACGAATACCGAAGCAAAGTATGTAGAAGACAAAAACTCACATATCACCTGATTATAAGACGATAATTTTTCACCAAAGAACATTGTCTGAGAAATCGATGAATGGCCTTTTTTGTTATAAATAAATCTTCAAAATATATAGAGAGGGCTCTCTACACTATTTTTTATAACATTCTTTGATTAGTATCTTACACCTAGCCCTTAACAGCTGGTATAAAACCTTTTTAGATTTTCATCATTGGCTTCATGCGAAAGCTCATCGTACCAATTTATTAACCTTAGGTCCACCTTGAAACTATTGAAATCACATTTATAATAATTAAGGCGACTTTTGGAGCCCAGGTGCATATATCCAATCCTGCTGCCATGGGGACTTCGATTATCAGTGCTAGATGATCCACATGTAACTTAGATAACGGTATGTCAGCGTTTTCCAGCATAAGAAGTGTAATAGTTGAGATAACCAAGTCCAAATAACGGAAATTAGCATTAGGAGTACTGTTGAACTGATGCAACCTACACAAAGACATAAAATTTGCCAAAAGTTGTACCCTACTGTCAAGAATATTTATTTATTTATATCGGTAGGATAAATATAGTTTTCAGTCTTACATAAGTGCCATGTTAAGTTGATTATGTTGAAATCACGGACGAAAACAAACTCATCATCGCTCTCACAGTTTATAAGAGGCTTCTGTCAAGAGTTTATAACAGGCTTCTGGCAAGAGGCTCCTAATGAAATTGGTTGAAAAGTTATTTAGACAGATATTGTACTTACTTTTCAATATTATGTAAATAAATAATGAAAATAAAATTTACCGGTCGAATTATTTAATTATTCTGCAACTTTTGCAGTTGCGTAGGGTGGATGATTAAAAATTTACTATCTTGTGCTTCTCAACTCATTTCTTATCATAGATATAAAAATATCTGACTTTAGCTGTTGATCCCTGTTGCCTCTGTACTATTTATCATATGGTGGGTCATATGTGGCCTGTCTTTCCTATCTATACATACATGATCCCCAACAGTGGGGGTATTAAGGGTGCTGATGACTGTTTTCATGCCTTTAAATTTGACACTTGAAATATCATACACATTCCTTATTTTTTATGCATCCAAGGTACCAGGGATACAATCTTGGCAAATGAGGTGCGCTCGAAACTGTTCGGAATCAAGCTGCGGTGAAATAGTTCCCGTGCCAAGTGTATCTGTAAATGTATTTAACGCGTGTGCGAGTTGCAGTGTCACTAATGAATTTAATTGAATTAGTAGGCTGACTATAAAGCTAGTTGTACCAACCAGCCTGTGCAGCTAATCATTGAACGATGTGAAGAGTAGCTGCCGCGGCTATCCAAAGAACTCGACGAAACCGCAAGTGTACAGTGGCTCTTGACTGGCTACGCAACTTGGATGTAGAGTTATAGCCAAAGTTACCAACAATAAACTATTATTATTACTATTTAAGCGCCATAAATACTATCAAATTAATCTGAACTCACAACAAAATTATTTTTTTCATCAATGTTTACGTTTATGTGCCCGAGTTATTGTCACACGAAAATGCGAAATTGACGCTGAAAAATATATTGAAAAAGGCGCAGAAGAAAAAAAAGGAGTAGGTATCTGTCAATGTTAACAATCATGGACACAAAACAAAGAAGTTCATGTCCCGCTGAGTTTCTAAAATTTACTGGGCTGTCTTCATAAAGATAAACTCCAATTTAACTTTCAATTAGGTACAAGTGGCAGAATGCAGAGGCAGAACATTAGAGAAGGTATAAATGTATGGTTAATTGATTTAGCATAGGGAACAGTTTTTCTTTAGTCATGCTACGCTAGCTCTGCCCTAGTTATTGTACTTGCAGTAATCTTCAATTATTACAGCAGCATTAAGCAAGTGCTAAAAGATATTGCAGTATTTGCTACATTAACTGTATATTGATTTAGCATATAACTTTTTAGCAAAGAATACTAACTAAATCCAAACGGAGTACTAACCATTATTGCATTTGTATGTAGCGAAAACAACCAAGTGCTACACTTACGCCGCTAAAACTAAACGCAGTATTTACCATTACTGCATTTGAATGGAGCCAGAATAACAAAGAGAATTACTGCATTTGCGTGTAGCGAAAATAAAAAAATGATTGCTAACTACAAACGCAATATTGAGCACGTGCTAGGTTCTACGTGTTTTTACATTAGGGGAGACCGAGGGGATTTGAAACAGTACCAAGTTTTCGGGACTTAAAACAGTTAACGGAGAAAAAAAAAGAAAAAATCCATACAATTGCTATTTCTTCTTTCAAATCTTTAATACTTGTAAAGGTATTGATTTGACATTGTGACTTACCTACAATGTAAAGAGATGGCGCTGCCTAGCACCTTAAGGAACACGAGAGAGATATCGACATGGCAATCAGGCCCGCGGTAGCATAATGGTCAGTGCATTCGACCAGATAGCGAAGGATGTGGGTTTGACTCATTCCGTTTATAACACAAGTCAACAAAATGAAAAAAAAATTGAGTCTGTTATTTAATGACTATTGTCTAATTGTTTATATCGAAAAATAAACAGAAACCTCATTTTTATTTTAAAAAGTTTGCTTTTGTACTTTATACATAAATATGTATGACTTTTGTAAGAGGCTGAGAATCTACCGCTTTTAATAAGCAGAAGAAAGGAGTGCAGAAGGATATTGGGTATGGAATAGGAAGCAGTAGAGCAATCACTCAGTGCATGTACACACCTTTTAGAGAAACGACGTATTTTGTAAATGCATAGAGCGGTAAATGCCTTCAGAAATGAGTGACAACTACGTGGACCATGTTTGCTTTATTTGCGGAGTTTTTTTAAAAATTTAGAGTCATAACAATGGTTTAACTTGTAGTTAAACACTTAATTAAACATAATGAAGCTTAATTTTAGCTTCCTATTTGACTTCAGAATAAAATATGGACGCCATGACGATATACAAAATTTCCAAGTTCTTTTTGTTTACTTCACTACCAGCAGCACATTCAAAGTGACAGAAAAAGAATTATAATATTTAGTACTTTTATTCATTATGGACCCAATCATTATTTTATGTCTCAGTTGCATGAAAAAATTCTTTATTTACTTTAGGCAAAGAAACCAATCTTTGTCTTAAGTAAATAAAAGAGTTTTTTTAATAAATATATTAATGATTATTTTCTTGTTATATACAACTTAAAAAAAGAAGTTTGCAATTTTCCATGAAATTTAAAATTTCATTCTGATAGCTAAAAAAGCAAACTTTTTTAAATAAAAATATTGTTTCTTACATTAATTAGGTATAAGAAATCAAAATCTGGTACAAAGACTCAAAAATCGTGTTGACTGGTATAATCTAGAGACCCTTGACATACAGACAGGCAGACATATGACAGAGTGACAGCAATAGTGTTGTGTTTTACTCTTTGTTATTAAGTTAATGTACAATTCGGATTCTCGGATAAAAATCTACTCGCTTATACTAAATGTGTTGATATTTTTTGTATTTCTCCTGTGTCTTGCAATTATTTTAAGGTTTAAATTACATAATTACGCTTGAAAATATGACCGCGGTACGAGATTACAAATTGTGCTATTTGAAGTTGATATTATAATTGTTGTTTTAACCCTTTGTATTAAGATATTGTGTTATTTATGCTTCACTATTATATATAGTCTTAGAAGTGGGTTCCAATTAAATTAGACTTTCAAAGTTAAATATATATTCTGATGCAACAAACTTGATATCTAATCTGATTTTAAATAAAAGTCCTGTTTTTAAATAAAAGAAGAAAAAAATAGCTCTTTAACATAAAAAGGGAGTACATTACGGGATTAGATGCGGCGAGTTAGCGACAACGCGAAAAAAAATTCAATCTCGTAAAGTCAGTGTCGATGGCAAGCGAATCTTTTTAAGCTACAGTTTCATTAAAAATCTCGCCCCATCTCCTACAAAAGATTACTGAATGCCGTCATATTTTTAATCTCCGAGCCGAACAATGCAGCGACGGCGAACAGAGAATTATTTTACGAACTGTGTACTGTATCGTGACCCATAGACTAGCATTGAGCATTGCTGTAGTTTAAATATCGGACCGATGACGGTCGGAGAATGGAGAAAATTTTAAAAGGTTTTAACACACTTTAAAAAAAGGATGTTCCCAGTTTGACCTGTATGTATGTACGTATGTTTGTCCGCGATCTTCTCAAATACTACAAGCCATGTGTTTAGGAGGGATCATGATTAATGGTTTCGACTTTTTTAAAGTAGAAATTTTATTTATTTATAAATAATTAGTCGGTAAATCTTTTTATTTCATTTTCAGTTTTTTGGAGTCAGTTCTATATATTGTTATTGATGAAGATCATGATACTTTGAGATAAATAGATATAAATATGGTCTTGTTACAGAATATATTTCGGGCTTATGGATTTTTTGAACTAATGTCGAAGAAATCATTGAGCATTTATAATGATTTAGAAGGCATTTTAAGAATCACCTCATAGTTAATCAGACGTAATAATATGCTTTGAATTATATTTCCTTTGAGGGCTAGTTTTTGATTATGTTCGTTTTATGTAGAACTTGTTAACATAATACCCGATACCGTCACAGTTTGAAAGTCGTCAGTGAATTGTAAACTGTACTGTACTAACGGACTACCGGAAATAACTTTTACTTATTTAGCAATCCCCAAAGATAGTTTTACACTAAGTAAAACCAAAGGAACTTTATTTTTATTAAAATTTGGTTTTAAGATAACAATTTGATATCTTTAAAGTTAATTTTGTATGCGAATATTGTGGATGATTACTTGTAAGATAACGATGTTACAGGCTACACTTATTTGTAATGTGTCACCATAATTAATTCTTAACGGTAGTAATTAACCCTTTTTGTTTTCCAGGGAGGTGTCAGAGAAATTAAGTTCTATTATGAAGTATCAGATTCCACTATTACTGATACAATTTGCTTTTCAGTAAGTATCGATTTTGTATAAACCAGCCTAATTAATTTGTTTATGAAAGATGTTAATATTGTAAGAATGATAAGACTGCGGATTCTAAGATAGCAGGAAGCGAAGTAACAGCACAGATGCTGCGAACAGCAGGTAAAAAATGCAAGTGACACTTTTAAAATCATTAGTGAAAAAAGTCCTTTCTCAGCTGGGATTCGAACCTGGGCCGCCTGCGTAGCAAGTGAGCTTTCTGTCACTGAACCACCGACGTTTTTTGTAAAGTCTGATTCGCGACGTTTTTTAAAAGTAATTAAAAATGTAATGCGACATTCTAAATATTAACAAAAAAATTGTAGCGATATAATAAAAGTCTTTATTAAAACAATTATAATTGACCATGTGAATATTAGTGATATACAAAAAGTGAGAAAGCGTTTCCGTTTGAAATATGCTAATAAATCAAATGGTATCTTTCAATTTCAATGTATTGGAGATAAAGAATTAAAAAATATAAAGCATTTGTCGCTGTAAAGAAGTTACCTAAATAGAGTTTTTGCCAACTAAATTATCAACATTCTAGATTGTGACCATGTTGAACTCCTAATTTTTTGGTTATTAATGATTTTTCGACTGATATGTTGTAAGAGTGAGACAAAACCCAATTTAATCCGTTGGCCCTCTTTGCGGCTCAGGTTGGCCCTCTTTGCAACTGACAGTAGTAAATTGAACTTAAATGTATAAAGGATAAGCTCAATTTTCGAAAATATTTTTCCATATAGTACTCAGCCTTGTTTGTATAGATATTACGTCCTTGAGGTGATCAAACCAGAACTCTGCCCACGGTCCAATAATATCCATTTTCAACAACAAGCACCTAAGAGCTACTTAAGTACTTAGGATTCCTTTAAGCTAAGAGCTTCCCTAAAATCTATCCCTACCTAACTTCATTTACACCATTGCCGATGTCCCTTTACAAAAGGGTTAAATAAGGGGGTATAATAATTATTGTCAATTAGAAATCCTATGTGTACGCCATAACCAGTGAAGATCATCTTGTCTTAGTCTGTTCTGGTGTCTGGTCCAGGCATGACGTTATGAATCCAAGTACATTGCGTGACTATTTTCTTTAATAGCTCGCTCATAATGTACATACTGTATTAATTTATCTGCATCGTGCGCCGCTGGACGCTCCGCTTGCCTCGTCGCATCTCAAACCGCCCTCGCATGTCGTCTATATTGCAACCCAAGCAACCATGCGAAAGTCACTTCATAGAGAATGTGATGCAAGCTAATGTCTCCGCTATCATTTATTTCATTGAATAAATAATTATTTATTAGTGTTTTTTTTCATGATATACATTAGACATTCGTAGATTCGCAACGAGATGACAAATTAAATTTGTTTCTTTTTTTTTGTTTTTTTTCTGTTTATTAATTTTTTTACAATTGTGTTTCAGGGTTTCAAATTACCGTCTAGCGTTAGTATTTTTATATAGTTTACAATTTATAAAAAAAAATTAAGTACGCTTTAGCTGTCAATGTGTCGTTTTTTTCAAAATAACATTTATATCTATCGGCCAAGTCAATTTCGGGGTGAATAATTTTTCTGGTGTTTTGTTTTTCAAAATTTAATAGTTCTTTTTATAGAGTTCCTCGCACAGAAATACATATCAATAAATGAAAGATGGACAACGGTAGAATAAGAACTCTTTATTAACTCCTAGTTCTGAAAACATGAACTTACAGACGAAACTACTAGGTAGGTACTTGTGATCGTATAAAAATATTGGAAATCTGTTTTTTTGTTATTATTTGGTTTACATTTATTTTTACATTTACATTTAATATACTGTACTTAATTTATTCTAATACAGTATATTTAATGTATCCCTCCATACAATGAAGTAAAATAATTAAAGGCAACTTGTGACATTTGTTATTATTTTAAGAAAAAAGAAATAGTGAAAGGAACTCTATAATCAATATCATTAACTAAAAAGGGATCGGGATTGGAAAAAATACTTGCGCTATCATTTCCAATTAGGTATATTTTTCTAATAATATCTAAGTATTCTATAAATATGTATTGTCTTCATTTAATACACATAATGGTTGTCGCTGCTGCACAAAAGGATTATAACAATAAAGAAATATTATATCAGTACATTATGATTATGAATAAAATTGAATAACCAACTCTTAATTGTATAATGATTTTTATGTAAGGTGACATTTAACCAGTTCTATGTATTTTTGCAATTGTATATTTCGGATCTTACAAAGGTTCTTCAATTTTGTATATAACTCTGGAGGGAGATGTTTATCTCAGGTAGCTTAATTTACATTAACAACAACTTTATATTAATTACCATGCCTTGAAATAAAATAAGACTTCTGTTAGTAAGACAGTTATATCAGAATTCAAGAAATAATATGGCATGGGAAGGCCGTTATCTAGTGAAAGAGCAATGTACTGCAATAACGAAAAATTAATTTAATCACGTTTATAAGATCAAGTTTTGGAACTCATTATAAGATCTTCAATTTAATAAAGTCATATCATATAAACATCTCCATTTTTTTAAACCATTATAATTTCTATACCTACCTGTATTGTTGCTTTTCTTGTATTAACACTATTAATATTTCTTCCATAGCGAGATTATGATGCTGACGATGATGTAAGTGCATTGTGTTTTATTTTTATTATTCCTAAGTAGATAATAGTTTTAATAAAAAAACATTATATGAGTAATAATTATTATATATGTTTTTTATAAATAATAAAATATTAAATATCGATATTATAATTGACAAACATTAACTGTTTTGTATTAACTCTCTTGATAAAATAAAAATAAAATTTACAAAAATCTTAATTAATTTTAACTTCTTTTCTCTTGTACTTTTATGTAATAAACCAGATTTTTTGAATTAACACTTTGTAATCCATTAATTAAACAATTTACAGTTTTAACGCCTATTTGACATACTACAATTATATATTTATAAAATACTTAAAGACCGTTTTCACGTATAAACGTTTTATATCAAATTTAAATAATGGACATGTTGCCAACCAAATAAAAATATATCTTTCACTGATGTGTGAATATAAAGGTTAAATAAACAAATAATAAAAGTATTTACTTTTGACAGAGCCCTTTGCGTATAATATTTAATTAGTCAGAATCCAAGATTTTATAGTGAAAGCGGTCTTTGAAAGAGAAATTATTTATAAATAACTTGCTCGCTTGTCTGGCTTGTTAGCAGTGTTTTTAACTAAAAACTAATTACCAAATAAAACTCTCTGCAAAGATATTTCATACATATTTTTATGTTTTCAGTTTACGGACGGTAATAAACCTGGAGGTATTTTTTTTTTATTTGTTATGATTATACAATTATTGTAACGGTAAAAATGTGTTAAATTAAATTATTGTTCTTACAGAAAAAGGGCAAAAGGGCGAAAAAGGCGATAAAGGTATAAAAGTAAGTATAGATATATATCTTAATAAAATATTTATATCTCTTGCTAGATTGAGAAAAACAGAAGAAACAGAATGTGCTAGTTGCAACGTTTTCTGCGCATTAATAAACACCTGTATTTCAAATACAATTTATTTTCGTACATTAACGTTTTATATAACATTTTATGCTGCCTTTTCATCTAATGCTCAAAACAGTTCCGAGCGAACATTTGTTCGTTAGGTGGAAACGCATCATTTGACTCAAGTGATGATAAAATTGGTTTCATTGAGTCACTCGTCTGTTGCACATTGCATTGCTAACCCCACAAGGAATGCATGGCGTGTTTATATTACTTATCTATAAATAGATGGTTATTATCTTTTGACAGGGTGAAGTTGGAGAGTCTGTCACAGGACCCGCAGGTCCCTCGGGTCCTCGTGGTCCAGAAGGTCCCCAGGGGCAACGAGGTCCAAAAGGTGATGAAGGTGTAAGTGATCGTTTCGTATCATTAAAAATGTTAAATAAATATTTAAACATTTGACGACATGCGTGATAGAGGAAGTGTTATTTTTCATTTAAGATAGACCTCCCATATCATCCAATTTTTTTTTTTAAGATTAATAATAAATCAGACAATCTTACATTATTCGTCGGCCTACTTGATACTAAAGTTAGTGAGCCGAGCATAACATAAGTGATCACTATCCCAGAGAACTCAAAGGAGATGATTCATAAGTGGTAGTCGGTTTCCGGCAGCGATGAAACATATCATTTGAAAGCTTGTTTTATATTATTACATGAACAGATACTTTTAATTTTTAATTAATCTCCGATTATTGAAAATCGGTATTAAAAATTTATCAATTTTGTAAGGATGCTGGCCACCCTGACATAAGTAACGTTATATTTTTAGTGTGTGGCAGCTATCAACTTAATCACTATGGCAAATGTCAATCAGTCCAATCATGCATGATATTAGTGAAATCGTGACGAACTTATTATACCAATTTATGATTGATACTTTTTAAAATAAAATACCCACAAAGTACTGTAAAAAAATGTGTAATTTTATATTATAATAATTAAATTAAACTAGTTTTTACGGGTTAATGCACGAAACTTTATTTATTTATTGACGTTTCGTAGCCTTTACAGACTACGTCGTCAGAATCAAACTTTTATTTAATTTGTCGAGCTACCTTCGAAAGACTTTTATTGAGCATTCGGTTATTTCATTGTTCGATTTTTAAAGTTTTATTGTCTATGTATGAATTTATTATTTAATTTACTTAATAAAGTATTTTATTTAAAATTCTTTTTTGTAATTTTGAGTTTTTATTTATTTGACCCTAACTACCGTAAACTAATAATAATATTATTAAAAAAAACAAGGATAAAATAAATTCTGGGTTTTGGCAAACGATTTACAATTAAGTGTACTATATCTCATAAACTTTTATGATATGTAGAAGTTACAGTCTGCCGGAGACTCCCTACTACACTCCATACAAAGAACAGTCTCCTTTGAATCTTGACTCCAGAAATTCTTGACGACGTAGAAAACAGAGAACTTGCTGATGTTTTCGTAGTATCTTCGTGTATTGGTAGTCTCAAAGTTGACTTTCGATATAATATCGTAATCGTTACATACTTAAAGGTTTTTTGTATAAATATCGAATATATCTTCAATCCACAATAATATTGAGCGCATATTTACGTAAGTCGGATACATTTTTTTTTATATTTCCAACACTCACACCAATTAGCCTAGCCCCAAAGTAAGCACTATAAGGCTTGTGTTATGATATGCTAGGGCATAGGGTAACGGATAGAATACATATACTGTACATATATAAGTATATTTATATAGAAACACATATTAAACATCCATGACTGAAGTGCAAATGCTCGTATTCATGACACAAACATCTGCCCCCACCGGGATTTGAACCCGGGAACTCTCGAGTCGGCGACACCATGAAACCCGGCGTACAAACCACTCGGCCACGGAGTTCGTCATACAAGGATCATTTCATTTATATATATTTTATACGAGGTGTAATAAATTGCCCAACCCCATCTGATGTTAAGTGTAAGTGGAGTCCAGTCGCGAAGATATATTGTGTAACAGAAAGTATGCCACTCCATACTTCCTCAACTTACCGGCCTGAACCCAATATTCATACAGAATATAGACAAATTTCGAAATAAATTTTATAACCTATTGTTAAACTGTGCAAAAGACATTTCCCAAAATGGTCGTGAAAATCAAGAAGAAATATTTTTCTAATTTGGTATTTCCTTAAAGAGTGAAACTGCTTTCAAATTTTCTGGAAACCTTCATCTCATTTGTAAACAATAATAGATTCTTGTTAGAAAATCTCATTTCCGCTAAAGATTTTATATACATTATAATTATATTTCTAAGAAAATGGTACTTTTAAATCATTTTTGGTCACACAATCAGTACAGATTTTTTTAAAATAAAATCACAGTCTTGTTCGGTAGCCCTAACTTTAAACACAAGGCAAAATGTTGCAATGACTGTTGAAGCAGCCAGTAACAAATATAATACAAAAACCGAATTATCGAATCTGATTGTTAGATTGCATTTTACACAATGTACAATAATACTTGCTTGGTTCCTGGTTAAAAACTAGACCACCCAAAAACAAAAAACGCCTAAGATTCGACAGCAAACATCAATGCACAAAACGATATCTGTTTTCGATCGAAAATCAAAACGCCTGCCAATAAGGTCAGCTGTGTCAACTGATCGAAATTTAATATGCTTGCAAATCTGGAATGGGTTGTATATTATAAGTGCATTTAACTGCATTCAAATGTTCTGAACGGTGTTGCACCTACTCAGGTACGCAACCACAAGCAGTCGAAAATGTGCAGTCTGTTTTTCGTCTTAGACAAAAAGATACGCTTTATATGAGAGCATCCGTCCAACTGCAAATAAAAGAAAAGAAGTTCACTTCTGGTTTTCTCAAAAGGGAAGGTTTATAAGATCGATTGTTGAGGTGAGGCTATGGCTTTGTACCTATATCAACGTAACATGTCATTATACATTTAGCCCCTTTTATATATATTAGTTCACACATTAATGCTATATGATAACATTAATATATGTTTTTTTATTTACTATATAGGCATGCCAATGTTCAGAAACAGTTGTATCCAGCTTGTTAAAAACTATGCCTGAAATGAGGGGACCGAGAGGAGAAACCGGAGAAGCTGGACCACAAGTAAGTAAATTGGCTAGGTACATAATAAAACATTCAGAAATCTATTTTTGCAAACCGCCTGCATGTGAAAAAATATATCAGGAGCAACTTAGCAGTTAGTTAATTATGGGGTAATCAATAACCCCACCTGATGGTATCTGCGAATGCAATCCAAACTATAATACTCTCCGAAACTGTTGTGTCCGTAGTACTAAATATAGTTCTAGTTCCAAACATCTGGGCAAGCTAAACAAAACCTTTAATTATAAGATTTAAAATTTTATTTTTGTGAATTTGACTAAAAATAAATTTACCTTGATTTAAGGGCAGACACGGTGATCAAGGCGAAACAGGTCCGAGAGGCCATAAAGGGGAAACAGGGGAGAAGGGGGAAAAGGGAAGCGATGGCATTCCAGGGAAAGATGGTTCTGCAGGCCCTAGAGGTGAAACGGGAGAAACAGGACTCCAAGGTCTTAGAGGACTACAGGGAATTCAAGGGCCTCCTGGACCACCAGGGCCTGGTCCTAAGGTAATTATTTTAACTTAGTTTGCTAAAGCTGCCACTACGACTTCATGAACTTATTATGACAAAGAATAAATGATTTGTTTGTTTGTTTGAACTCAAGTCCTTTAGTAAAGATTGTTAACACTCAGCTTGAACAAGTTTATGTAAATTAGGTTAAATAATAACTCTGTTAGTTTTAATTAAAATCAGAACAGGACAATCGTTGCAAAGTGACTTCATATATCTTTGGAACAATGAAGTGTCAGAAATTCTTTCGACAGGACATAGAAGTGAGAAAAGAAATACCAGTGGTTGGACCTAGAGGAGAACAGGGACCAACCGGTCCTCCGGGTACACCGGGAATTCAGGGCATACAAGGTTCGAAAGGTGAAACAGGACACGAAGGTGTCAAAGGACAAAAGGGTGAAAAGGTAAGAATATTTAAAATTAAATCTTTTAAAATATAAATTGATATTATTAGAAGGAAAAAGGTAGGCAAGTTGTCAACCCTTACACACAATATTTAAAATAAAAAATCGACGTTCAAACCCGAATTAGCTAAACGCCAATTCTAAGTAAGTACTTGCACAGTATGTAATAAAGCAAATAAAATAAACAATATATACTCACTGCCATAACATTAATGTAACGTTAAGCTTCGTGAATAGCTCTTAAAGTTAAATTTTAAGGATACAGAAGATTTTGTTAGAAACTGATCTCATATCACTCTTTGTTTAATATAAACGTTGAAACAGTACTGTTTTGTTGACTTGTTACAATATAATATCTTTAATAGTTTTGGTTTATATTGTTTTAAGTTTATAGTTCTCTATTGAGGCCCAAAATTATATAAAATTGTCTTTGTGTGGGGGCTCTGGCAACTGTACCACAGTTTCTACTATTACAGCTGTTAACGATTACCTCTTAACATCAGAAAATCAATTAATGCTTCCACTGATTGTTTCGCGGGAACACCTGTAATTTGGAGTGAAAATAAATAATTAAAAAAATATATGCGTACGTGACTAACACATACGTGAGTCTTACTTGTGGTAGTGAAACGATCACAGAGCGGTTGTATGATTGAAGCTTTGGTCTCTGTACGGACTGTACGTTTCTGTACTCATGTTCCACAGCGCCGAAATATTAAATGAAATTCAACTTTTTAGAACGCCCCGTGGTTTCATAATCTTTAATAGAGGATTCATATCATGGGTGTAGATAAAGTCTTTTACACAACTGCTCTTTATAAAGCACTAGTGGCCCGCCCATGCTTCGCTTCGGTGTAGAGCTATTCGATTATTTTTCACCTTTAAAACCTTCCCTAGACCTCCACAAACATTTCAAGACCAAGATAAGATAAATCCTTTCTGCCGTTCTCGAGTTTTAGCGAAACAAACAAACAGCAAATGATTTTTATATATACTAGCAGACCCAGCGAACTTCGTACCGCCCTAAAAAAATAGGGGTTGTCCAGCGGACAAAATTGTGAATCTAAACCATTCTCAGATCCCCTTGAACACACACAAAAAATTTCATCAAAATCGGTCCAGTCGTTTAAGAGAAGTTCAGTGACATACACACTCACAGAAGAATTATATATATAAAGATAGACTAGAGGACCCGGTGTACTTCGTATCACCTATCCTAACGACTATGCTAACGACATTAAAACTCTCCTTTCGCTAAAATTGCTGAAAATTTTGATCGGTAATGTCAGGCATTCTTGACAGGAGAGTAGGTAGACAAGTTGAATAGATAGAGAAATTATGGGTTCTACTATCTTCCTCGCGATGATTCCATATTTTCTCACCGTTTAAACCTTCTCTGAACTACGGCAAACATTTTAATACCATAATCAGGTAAATCGCCCCAGCCGTTTAGCGAGACAATCGAACAGCATTTGATTTTTATGTGTATAGATTAAAACACTCATGTTATACTATCATCACACTCGGCTTCGCCTCGTGACCCCACTTTTGTATTTTAAAACTCCTTATTATAATACAGTTGCATAAATAACTATTAATTACTCATACGTAATGCAGGGCAATTTTGGTCCAGAAGGACCAAAAGGAAAGACGGGAGATCGCGGCCTACCAGGGTTAGACGGTTCACCTGGGAAACCGGGAAAACATGGTGACCACGGAGAAAAGGGAGAAAGAGGTTTGTTAAATCAAATATATGTTTACGATAAAAAAAAAATATTGTATATTAACAGTTTCTTATTCGTCCAATTTTTTTTTTTTAATTTTTCGTATAAATTTATGTTTACTGTTATTCTGTAATTACAGGTGACACCGGAGTAAAAGGTGATACGGGTGCTCCTGGCATGCCAGCGAAATTGTCCTCAATACTCGATTCCGATGACGAAGAAAGTAAGACATACTTATAATACACTTCTGGACACATCTATTGACCCACCTTGTATTTTCAGTTTCGTTTGGTCCTAGCTAAAATTTTATATTAGGTCGAGCAAAAAGTTTTTATGCAGTTTTGAACCTGACACATTCACAATTTCATTAAATAGTCTTTTTTTGAATTTCGAACACAGAATTTAAAGAAACAAAAGACAATTTGGAGCCTGTTTGTTGATATCAAACAATCGAATACTAAGAAAACTTGGTTTTATTGGTTTACTTGGATTTAATACTTGAAAAAGTGATTGATATCTTTGGTTTTGCAACAAACATTACTTATTCTTAACATTAAGGTGAGGTTCTATCAATAATCTATGGATACTTCACCTGAAGTCGCCGCCCTAGCTGTGGCACTTATTCAGGCCGGACACAGCCAAAGAAACGTGAGTGCTCAACTTAATTTAAGTCGATCTGCGGTCCGAAATGTTTATCGGAGGTACCTAGAGACTGGCGGCTTTGTTGGTCGCCAAGGAAGGCCACGATCTCGGGTCACAACTGAAAGGCAGGATCGATTCATCGTGACGACCAGCTTGAGAAATCGTCACCTTACCTCCATTGAGATACAAAAACAAATTCGCGACTTCCACGGAGTATCTGTGAGCGCTCGAACTGTTCGGAGAAGGTTAAAAGAACGCGATATGGTACCACACAAGCCAGCTAATGGGCCCAAACTAACGCGAGCCCACCGAACAGCGCGCCTTCATTTCGCACGCAGTCATTTAAATTGGACACAGCAAGATTGGAGCCGTGTACTCTTTTCTGATGAGTCTAAAATTGTGTTACATGGCAATGATGGAAGGAAGAAGGTCTACCGACGTAAGGGAGAGCGTTTCGCACAATGCTGCTTTGAAGAGAGGGTTGCTTATGGCGGTGGCTCATGGACTGTCTGGGGCGGTATATCCGCGAGCGGCAAAACTCAACTTGAGGTTGTTACAGGACCACGGCTGCCAACATTAAATGCTGAAAGGTACATTCGTGAGTGCTTAGAACCTCACGTGATACCATACGCGGACTATGTGGGCCCAAATTTCCTTTTTATGCATGATAATGCAAGAGCCCATGCGGCCGGCATCGTCAGGGAATATCTTCGGGATGTGAACATCACAGTTATGGACTGGCCAGCCAGAAACCCAGACATGAACCCCATTGAGCAACGTGGGACAAGCTAAAAAGACGTGTTAGGGCTCGTCAGCCAGTTACCCAGACGATGCAGGAGTTAAAAACTGCCATAGAACAGTAATGGGAGATGATCCCTCAAAATTTTATAGAGCGGTTTATAAACTCTATGCCTAATCATATGAGAGCTGTGGTAGATGCCCATGGAGGCAACACGCGTTATTAAACTAAACCTTTATTTGATAAAACATGTTTTTTATTCAAAAATCCATTGCCTTTAACAAGGCACATATCCGACTTGTTAGGCGTAGCTCTATGTCGTATGGTATTCTGAATTCAAATTTAAAACAATACGATCGAAAAAGATGGTAAAATGTATCAGGTTTAAAACTGCATCAACAGTTTTTGTTCTATCTAGCAATCATATTTCGGTAGGGGCCATCGAAACCTAAACTCTAAGGTGGGCCAATAGATGTGTCCAGAAGTGTATATTCATTCAATACGATATAAAATAAGAATAGTCACAATCCACTTCCGCTTATTTAGAGTTTACAAAACCTCAAACGACAGATAAGCTGAATAATTTCAATATCAATGAAATATTCTGGTCACGTGAAAGTAATAACTTAAGAAGATTGAATCCCCAAACATTTTTTGCTACTATTGGCTCTATTGGCTTTGATCCCTATCCTGACCCAGCGTTGTGTTATCCAATGGACTTACTGCGGATTTGTGCGCTTGTCCTTTTCTGTCAATACGTTGATTGAAAGAGAGACAACGATTCTTCACAGGGCCTCTCTTTGGAAATATTTTCGCTCAAATAACTATATACCGCAGCTGCTTCAGTAATTTTTCGGTCGAACGAAAAGCGTTGGGGGTCCTTTCAGCTAAATCAATTTATTGTTCTCATTTGTTCAACGGATGTCCCTGCGCTGCAATATTAATAGAGTTACATAACCTAATAATATACAATCTTTTTTATCGAAATAAGCCATTTGAGATCATATTTCGCTAAACTACACTCAAATGAATCTGGATCATTCCGTTTTACGCACCATTTTAGTCAACATTTATTAGCAGTTCCAGACGAGTCCAATATATTTTTTTAAGTTTCTTTATTGTGACGGAAGACGTTTTTATTCGTTTCTTATGTTTTCACGTATTATATTATTATTTCACATTAAAACCGACTTTTCGAACTTTGTAGGTTAAATTAATGAAACCTGAACCATGGTAATAATGTTGCATGTAATTGTAAAAATATTGAATTGAAACTTTTTTAAATTGATTTTTCACAAAATACAAAAATACAATAACTGACTGACCCGTATATATTAGGACACCAATTAATGTATTCGTAATAAAATATATGATACGTATTTTAGTTTTAAGCTATGGTGAAATAATATTTTTCATTTATAGATCCAAAAATAGTTGAATTGCTCCGAGGTCACAAGGGCGATAAAGGATCGAGTGGAGAAAAGGTTGGTAATGGTTTGAAAGATAAATTTTACTACCTGATTGTTTTTAACACTGAGCATATTGTAAACTCTCATCAACAGGGTGATACGGGAGAATCAGGTGCCACTGGCCCTAAAGGAATAGCAGGTCGAGATGGCCGCCATGGACAGCATGGAGAGAAAGGTGATATTGGACCACCTGGAGAAACTGGCCTCGCAGGCCTAAAAGGAACAAAAGGGGACAGGGGTGAAAGAGGTCCACCCGGTCTACCAGCAAATGTACCTGACATTGCACTGAAGGTGATCAAATTAAATCCACTTACAAGTTGGTGTAGTTTTTATATCTATACAAATACTATAAGAAAGACTTGTTGGTTTGTAGTGAATAGGCTCCGAAACTAATGGACCGATTTGAAAAAAATCTTACACATTATGAACCCTACATTATCCCTGATGAACATAGGCTATAGAGTTTTTTTATTTAAAAGTTAGGGTTCCGTATGAGAAAATCTATAATGTAAAAAAAAATACCAAAAAAATATCCTTATATCGCTTACGCTGCGAAAGACATTGACAATAGAGAAAAGTGATGTACTAAAGCTTTTTAGAGAACATAAATATCTACAAAAACGTCCGCAATATCATATGTCTAACTATTACAGTTATGTCACAACTAAACGCTCCTGCGGTTTCACCCGCGTTAATATGAGAAAATAGGTTATATTGAGTCAAACTTAAAAGATAGGGCTTAGGCATATGCTGTCGCAGACTTTTTTATATAACTTTTAAAGAGAGACCATTTCGTCATACATAATTTTTGTGTAACTTTTATCATTTACGCAGCGTACGCAACGGAATCTCCCAAATGAAATATTTTTACCCGTTTTTGCAACATTTTATATCGATACTCCGCTCCTACTAGTCGCAGCGTAATATTATATAGGCTTAGACCTTCCTCAATAAATGCAATATCAAACTCAGAAATATTTTTTCAAATAGGACCATTAGTACTTGAGAATTGCGTGTTCTACCAAAAAAATGGTGCATTGGGTACAACGGGTCATAAACTACGCAACAAAATTTTTACTATTAGTTACATACATTTTCATGGAATGGGATATAATTAAAAACCATATAAAGTAATTTATTGTGTATTATACAAGCCTGAGAACGAAAACTATAGTCTACACTACAGCTCTATACTGAAGCGAAGCGAGGCCGGGCCCGTAGTTATTACAATATTTAAAAAGAAAATAACTTCAAATTTATAATACATTTGTATATTATAAATTCGGACCACGATAAGTCTACAGTGGACTGCCAGTAGCAAAAATTTTAACTTTGCACATGGCAGTACTGATTACAGTTAAATTATTATTATTAACCCCTGATAATTTATTACTAGCCGACATAAAAGGGAAGCCGTTCTTTATCTATACATTTAACAGCAAAACTGTTGGTAATACAATTACTACTACAAATTACTATTTTGTATGAACTTATGTTTTTATAAAATAAATGTTTCGAAGCAAGTGTTCGTCCACAATCAAAACAATAATTTATTATCTAACCTTATGTGAAAATTTTTCTTAGATATATAGGTATATAAATAGAATGTAACTGTTGAAATGTAAATAAAAATAGCAATACAAAAACATACTAGTATCAAGAAATTTACTAAAATTCACTCGTTGAGGTTTGAATTTCTTCATAACATTGCTCTTTTTTCATAAGATCCGACTCCGTTTGGTCTTTTGAAAATTTATTATGATTATTTTAGTAACTTCCCTGACTCAAATTTTTCCCTTCTTTTCACTTCACAAACAAAAAGAGTAAAAAATATTCTTCAAACGAAAGATTCTTGCATGACATGATATTTATTATGACATTTATAAATGACGTCTTAAAAGGGCTGCCAGAATAAAATTTTCTGGTGTGATCAGATTATTGACTTTGCAAACTTATCGTGGTCATACTGTACAATAAGTACCACGAACATTTTCTCAAAAGTAATGTTAATCCAAAATACCCTCTCAAAGAATTTTTGTAGCGTAAATACATTTCAGAATCTGTTTTCACCACCATCATCAGTCTTCTGACGTCACTGCTAGAATTTCCCTTTAAAATAGAAAGAAAGTGTACAATACATTACATTGATAATATTTATTTCAACCGCACAGGGTATCGTAGGTCCAGAGGGCCCCGTAGGTGAACCCGGACCTCCTGGTGATGTGGGACCTAAAGGGTCCAAGGGTGCATTAGGAACTAAAGGCGATAAGGGTGATCGAGGACATACTGGTCACCGTGGTGCAACGGTATGACCTATTCCTATGGCAGTTTTTATAAATCATTAATTGAGTGCGAACTTAAGTGAGTTGTAATTTTTAAAAGGGAGCAACAGGATCTTCGGGTAAAGATGGCACTAAGGGTGAAAAGGGTGAGAAAGGTGAAGGAGCGCCCTCAATTGACACTACAAAGGTAAACTATTTTTAAATAATAAAACTTGAAAATAATAATAAAAGTTAACATATAAAAATTATTTTTAAAATGTCAACTTGTTTTATAATTTATTATTAAGTAGGTATATATTTTTTTTTGTACAGATGAAGAAAAAATTTTTTTTTGAGAATATTATTCTGTGCACAAATTATCATAATAATTTTATCACAGCTCAAAGGAAATAAAGGTGATAGGGGTGAATTAGGACCTCAGGGTGAACGGGGTATTCCAGGTTCACCCGGTTCAAATGCAACTTGCTTGAAATGCCAAAGTGAGCCTACTATTGGTCCTCCGGGTCCACCTGGACCGTCTGGCCCACCCGGACAACTCGGGCCACCAGGGCCATCCGGAACCGCTGGACCAGCTGGACCTTCTGGACCACCTGGGCCTTACGGACCACCAGGGCCACCCGGTCCCCCTGGGCCACCTGGTCCAAGAGGCCTATCATTGGTTGGTCCAAAAGGGGAACCAGGTGGAATTGTTACCCAGAAAACGCTCCTAACGTTCACAAAGGGAGATCCACAACGTAAGTATTTTATATACTTTTCCCGTATCATTTACTGTACACGTTTGAACAGATAGATGACACCATGGCCACGTTTTATCTAACTGTTTTATTGTTATTTAATTGTGTTTTCTACCTACTTAGTACTCGCATATTGCATTTTTGTATAATAGCAAAAGCATGTGGTCTATTACTACTTGAAAAAAACTTAACATACTTTTACAAATTTTTCTCTGGTTATTAATTTATATGTTCGACATAATTCCAATTAATCGTTATTGTTTCAGAAAACCATGATGGTGATTGCGACTGTTTCACCTCTTCTACTATAATTTTTAAGACTACAACTGCACTTTTAAGGGTAAATCTAAAAATTTTACCTTTTGAGAAAAGTTTTACTTTATCGTTGAGAGTGAGTGAGTACGATCTTGAGATGCTGTTTTGTATGAAAATATTATCTCAAGATCGTAATCTCAGCTGTGAGCGATCTATTAATACAAAGCTTAAAGTGGATTGATAGTCACTAAGATAGGTAGAGCTAAGCTGTTTTGCTGCTCGATTTTGAGAGCCCTTCTAGGGAAGTAAGCTCCACCTTACAGAAGATAACAGTCTTATAACATTTAACTTTTGACGACGTTGTGTTTGTACACGCCATTTTTATTATATTTTATTAAGTTTGCATTCCGAGTCGATGCACTCTAAACTGCTGACACAGTTGACCCACTCATTAGTTTAAGAACAATATTTTATATTATATGACAGTGCAATAAATGCATTCACATCGTATTGACGTATTTGAATAATTATTTCCTGACAATCGTCCCGTGACTAATTGACATATTGACAGTCGTTAGGGTCCTAGTAACGGCCCCTACAGTGTTTCTGTTCGAGTTTCTTTCCAGGGGGCCATTCGCCTAACGGAAATGCTTTGGAAAACGCTAACGCTTACGATTTCATTTTGTTATTTCTAGCCGCCTGAGGTTTTCAAATGCCTCGCGCTCTTTTTTTTTCTTTTGCATTGATAATAACAATATTAAAAAAAATTAACGTGAGGTATTTGAAAACCTTCGGCGGTCAGAAATAACAAAATAAAATCAATAGCAGTCCATTAGGCGAATGTCCCCCAGGGCTAAATGTTGTAGGGGATTGGTACTTGTTATGTTTTTGGTATCGCAAGCCATCTTACCATCAACCGGGCTATACGCTTGTTTGCCACCCTTCTTATATAAAAAAGTCACTTTATTTACATGCAGGCCGGCAAGGTGAGGATGGCTGGTGTGGCAAGTAAAACTGCTGTACCAGTACCAGCTATCTTCACGTCTGGACTTCACTGCCACTTAACATCAGGAGGGGTGGAGTCATTAGTCGGACCTATCTATAAAAAATCAAACGTAAGAATAGTGAATTTGATATTTTTTATTTTTTTCTACGACGTTTGTCGTTTGCAGAGAACTTCCGATACGCGTGAGGGCACACTGGCTTACGTGTTGCAAGAGAGAGCTTTGTTTCTGAGAATCGATAGAGGTTGGCAGCACGTGACGGTAAGTTAACACATACCTAAGTCTTAGCAGAATTTATTTTTCACGTCTTAAAAGAAACACCGTACAAATTAAAAATATAAGCTCCATTCTTGATTCCTGTATATTTGAGGAAGAACTTAATGTGTCAAAACAGAAACCAGGTTAAAAGAAACGCTCATACAGATTTTAAACAGCATAGCAGCTAAGCAGCATATGTTGGAATTTAAAAATAATTGACTACTTCTTATTTTACATTAATTAGCTGAGTTTTATACCTACGAGTAAAAGGAGATTTTTTGTAGTAAGGTTCAGGTCGATGAGATGACGATAGATTAAGCGGCACAATTTACTGCCGCATCGACTATCTACTTAACTGGACTCCACTTACACTTAACATAAGGGGAAGTGGGATAATTGTGATGCGTCTTGTAATGAAAAAAAAAACGATAAATTTCCAAATTTGTTGTTCTGCAAGTGACCAAAAATGTTTTAATCAATTTTACAATAATTTATATTATTCCTTCTTTGTAGCACTGAGGCTATTTGCATTTAAGAGCAAAGAACTTGCAATACCTTAATTTTCTAGCTGGTAGTTAAAGGGATTTTGAATATTATTTATTTATAGATGGGAGCTATGATTGACCCGGTTAACGTACCTCAACGACCTATACTAGAGACCTACACCACTACCACCACAAGAAGATATCCGAAATATAGTCCACATGTAAGTATTTGATTTAGTTATTTCATAACTCCATAAAAAGAGAAATACAGTAAAACCTGTTTAATACGATCACGATACGATTTCTCACATAATACGCCATTTTGCGTCAGTCCGTGCAACTTGAAACATGTTTTCATACATTACTTAACGCTTTATACGATTCGTCATCCCTTTAATACGCCTAAATCGCCAACACGTACCACACATATTACCTTTTGATAATACACAAGAAGATAATACAAAGTGATCATGCTGCCGCTTTGAATCAAAGCGAAGACGAGAAGAGAGTTAGATTATGTTGAAAATCTTGTAATTGTCATGCCCCAGAAGCTTTTTACCCGGCTGCGCAATGCAAGAGCGCGAAGCGCGACGCGCAGACAGGGTATTGTGTTTAACAGTCTATATATGTATGTTTGTTCCTTTGTGGCACACTAAAGACCAAACGCCTGGACCGATTTTGATGATTCATACATCAGTCTCGATCATGGGAGTGCTACTAAAGATATGATAGTAATCAAAAATCATTATAGGCAAAATGAGGCGCCATATTGTGACGAAGTAAAAAAAATAAGTTGACAAAATATGTCGAGTGGGGTATCACTGTCTAGATAATCGAAAATCATGTTTAGGTTTCTCACACCATTTTTCATTTTATATGATTGTTTAGGATCTACAACGCTTTAAAGTTGTATATTAACCACTTGCGTTTTTACTTCCAATCTTACGTTTGTATGGATCTTTGTTACTCTTTCACCTAAAAAATACTGAATGGATTTTAATGAAACTTAGCAGCAATATAGCTCATATATGATAATAACATATATATAATAATTTATGTAGTTATTGAGTGAATTGGGCAATATATAACAATAAGTGTCACATAAGACGGAAAAAAATCTCCCACCTGCGAGCCATTTTGGCCTGCACTGCAAAAACAATAAAAGTTACATGAATGTAATGTAGAGTGAAAATGTATCTCTTAAATAGTTCTAAAAAATAAGTCCGTGACATCATATATCTATTTTTAATGAGTAAGCCATTACCGCTAAAATAGTGAATCGAAACTCAAATATTATTTGATATCTATTTCCAAAATGCACATTTTGTATTAACAAATTATATTTTATGAAAACAAATACTTTTAACGCTTTTGATATTTAAAGACAATAAACTTTGCCTTTTACACTATGTCATTTTGACAAATATTTAAAAAGTTACAACGATGACAAAGTGTTAGCGCGGTGTACTATGTTTGAGTACACTAAGAGAATAATTTTAATTTAGGTGTTTATAAACGTGGATAAAACCTAGGCTAAAAAGAAAAAAATGGGCTAGTCGCAGTATCATATCCTGTACAAAGTACTTACAATAAAACTGTGATACAGTTCCTTCTTATTAAATGATGAAAAATATATTATCATAATAGGTATTTATGATTATTGAATTTTAATGAAAAACTCAGAATTTTACTGTTTTTAATTTTTTTTAACGATATTACTTAATGTTACAAAAAAGGTGTACTTAATATAATAACAAATAACCCATTTTTCGCTAGTAAGTACATACTTATTGGAATCCCTGTATTTATTAATCAGCTCGCGATAATATTGGTTTAATAATAATTCTGAAAAATTCAAAGTAAATAATGTAGTAAAGGGGTAAATCACCCCTTTCATCACCCTACGCCTATAGGTATTGCGATGTTGTAGCTAAGAACCAAGTTCCCATCTACTTCTATATGGGAATTCATTATATTCGATTTAGCTATTAGGGCACGGAAGCGCAACAAACAAACTCATTTTCACATCTATAATATTATATTATACTTACTAGTGACCCACCCGGGCATTGTACGGGCGAAATTTATTTATCGGGATAAAATATAGCCTATGTCACTCGGACAAAATGTATTTAAATAAAGAAAAATGTTATAATAAATAACGTAGCTACCTTATGATGAATTAATATTTGAAACCGGTTCAGTAGTTTGACAGATTATTTGTTACAAACATACAAATCTTGCCTCTTTATAATATTAGTATAGATAGTTAGGATAAGATAAGTATTTAATTGACGAAAAAGATTTAAAAATAAAGTAAGTAATAGGTTTATTTGATTATATTTGTAAAAGTTACTTAGCATTTGTGCTTAACAGTGATACGTTATTCGGTATTTTTTTAAACAAATAAAAATTTGATAATATTGCCACGATTGCACTACTGGGAGTACTCTTCATTCGAGCTTTACACTACCAATAAAAAAGGGTCGAACACAAAGTCTTTGACCTGTTAAATGTGAACGCTTTAAAAGAAAACTACAAAGAGAACTATAAATTGATAATAAATGAGATTGCTATGGTGCTCTACCTAACGTTATGAAAATTTTATTATGCGCCTTTAATTTAATCAAATATTATAAACTTTGCTTTGGTGATTGCATAATTATTTAATTTAGTGATCTAAGACAGTTGCCACCATTGGCCAAAACAACAGACGGAAATTACTGCTTTCTTCAACCTGCGACATAAACGTCATTGATTGGTATTGTATATAGGGTGATTAAAAACTTCTGGCATCTACATATTGGGTTTCTGTGAATTATGTAGGTATATCAAATTATGAGACTAGGGACTGACACTGAATTTGTGTACATCACAATCTTAGACGTCCGGCATTGACATGACAATGCAGCCACTGCCAATTTTAAATAGTCGACGAATAAAAGTAAATGAATTTTATATTTACTGCTAAACTATTAAAAAAAACATTAACAAAATATGACTTTTTCAGTAAACAAGTGCTAGTTTACTATAAAATTTACATACATTAGAGATATTTATGTAACGACTTGATTTAACTTCACACATTTTTGCGAAAATTGAGGCCCATCTGTAGCCTTGACCCCGCTAGTAAAGTATTTATATGTCTTAATAAATCAATCTTTTAGACCGACGCAAGGTACTTAATAATTCCCGCGATATTAATTCCCTTACTGAAGTAACAAGACTACGGTATATACCGTCTTAAAATACTAACTAACTAAAAAGTGTGAAATAAAAAAGGTAAATTTAAAAATCAAAAAACCCGACTGCTTTATTATACTTCAAATAAAAACTGAAAAGAAAAAAAGAAGTCCAGTAGTCTATAATTCTGTTAATAAGGAACAAAGCTACTTTAACAGTCGGGACCCACTGTAGAAAAATATTATGTATTCTTGAATATCTAATGGGTCCCGACTGTTAAAGTAGCTTTGTTCCTTATTAACAGAATTATAGACTACTGGACTTCTTTTTTTCTTTTCAGTTTTTATTTGAAGTATAATAAAGCAGTCGGGTTTTTTGATTTTTAAATTTACCTTTTTTATTAATAAGAATAAAGAGCTTGCAGATAGGCAAGTAGACTATAATGCAGCAGGGCCCCAGCTAATTTTGCATTACACGTAGTTTACAAAATAATATTGGTTATTTGATTTTGTTGCACACTGTTTCACCTTTGAATATTCCATCAACGACGCCGCATCACAATGAGAATCATGTAAGTTTTGACAGTTTAATTAGCATGATATACCTTCCTACGTACACTTTTCAATAGAAAATAATGCATTGCAAACTTTTTTTTTTCAAATTTTAAATACTAGGCTATAATAATAATAGTTCGCTGTCGGAGCAAGGTTTTAAGTAATTGTCGACGGAGAATTGGTGCTTCGACGAAGAGTCTTTAAAAATAAATAAATCAATATTTTTAACACTCACATCAATTAGTCTAGCCCCAAAGTAAGCACTGTAGGCTTGTGTTATAGGATACTAGGGTAACCGATAGAATACATATACTGATATATATATATATACACATATACATATTATAACACCCATGACTGGAGTACAAATGCTCAAAAAATCGTCCAAGTAAAATTTTATTAATATTTGTTTATAACAGATGGCGTCTTCAACAGAACCTTCTTCGATAAGGCCTGTTCTATGTACTCAAAGAGTTGAGTACCGTTAATTTTAAAATAATTATAACATAGTGCATTTCTAACCAGTTTCAATTATTATAAACTGAATAGAATAATTTTTTTCGTTATTATTTCAGCATAATGTATGTATTTATTCTGGGATCCTCCATGGTCATGACATAAAAATATAAACAAATAAATATCTATTTCCTAGGCTTACACAAATTAGCCTTACCCCAAGCAAACACTGTAGGGATTGTTTTATGGGATACTAAACACAACAAAACCGTAACTCAACAACAGAAACACAACAGTAACAGAAAGAAATGCTTACTAATAAGACATACATTAGATACATTTTTTTCAGTAGAAATAATGTATAAATAGCCATAGCTCAAGTCCAATTACTTGTATTCAACATACATACATTTGCCCCTAGAAGAATACTTCAAAAAACCGATGTACATGTCATTATACCACGAAGGTCATAAATTATAATTATTATAGTTTATTAACATTAAAAATATTATTTGGTTAGTCACCTATTATTGTTATGTAGGTATCATATCTATCACAGATTCGTATGATAGCACTCGATGAGCCGTACTCTGGTCGAATGCTGTTGGGTGATCGCGTCGGTTGGAACGCGGCAAACAGACAATGCCACCGGCAATCCAGGAACATTGGTGGCAATTTCAGGCCATTCCTGACGATGGAGTGAGTACTGATATCACTAGACATGAATTAATTGAACGATTGTCTTTAAATATGGCTTCATTATAATTGTAATTACGGTCAGGATGGACTCCCCGCTTGAACTTTAACAACCCTCTAAGATTGCGGCATATAGGGGAAATCACCCAATCATTGGCAATCTTCCAACTATTTGCACTTTTGAGTTTAGCTCGACAAAACAAGGGGAATCAAAAAGAAAATCCTAGTATGAATTAAAAAAATTAAAACTTGGCTGCATTGTTGCGATACATATTTTTTTAATGCGATTCGAACCTAACTCAAAAGTGCCAATGATTGGGTGGTTTCCTCTATCTATGTCGGATAGGGAACAGATCGATGATGGAGGAACTCGATAGCGCAGGTGATTAGCGCGTTCCGCTTGCCATCAAGGAAATTAAAGCAACTCTCGCAATGGCCGGCCATTGGGTGGGTGATAAAAACTTATTATCTCAAGATCCTCTGTTCTTCGAAAGGCACGTTAAGCTGTTGGTCCTGGCTGAATTTGCTCCAAAAATACGCTCTGGGCTCTAATGATACCCACCACATGGCTAAATCTCCATATTCCATAGGGAAGGCCGGAGCTGCAGCAGTAGAGACATTTAATAGGCTGATGATGATAGTTTAAATATACCTAGGGTACTGACTTTCCGCTCGAATCGAAGTGCCCGTCTGGTCCTCGTCAACCCGCTTGCGTCTTATCTTTCACTCCCAATGTCTAGCGATCCACCCGCTTACGTAGGTATAGCCTTCCACGCGCTTACGTCTAGCCGTTCTCCTGGTTACGCCTAGACAACGCATTATAATTCCAATTTCAATGACATTACTTTCCGTAGCACCAAAGTCTCAACTTCCAATCATAAATATATGTCACCGGCAATCTGTATAAGCAAGGCATGTAGGCAATGTTGAGAATGCTAGGGCGTCTAGGTTATGTGTGAAATATTAATATTATTTTCGATTTTACACTTTGCCTAGGTAATCTATACAATTCACAGAGATTGTATAGAGTACCTGCTGGCCCATCGGTAATGTGTAAAATAATAATACACTGGCACTATAAAAATTATACACAATATTTTATAACATTTTACAATATTAGAACATTCATCCAACTGTATAAAAATAAATAGATATGGCCTGTATATATCCTAACCAAACCTAACCTAGTCTACCCAGTCCGATATACAATGACTGACAGATTTTTTAACTCGCACCGAATGAACTACAGACCAATATAACCAACGCACCGTGGATTAAACGTTGTGACCTAAGCTTAGCGCGAGCCGAGCAAGCAAAGCGAGCATGCCGCGGCAGCGACCGGCGAAGCACTATTCATCTGATAGATAATAGAAATAAAACAAGGAAAAGTCGACTCACTATCTTCATTTAAACACATTGCTGACTGTAGATTCGGCATTGTATAGAATACCTGGACAAAGTATAAATTGAATATTATTTCATACATCGCCTTGACTTTTTAAGCATTCAATCATTGCCTAGGTACTGTATAGAATGCTGGATTATACAAATTTCCGGTAACATACATATTAAAACGTGAGATAGATTTATTGACTTATCAATATTTTCCTTCCAGCACACTAAACCTACGTCACATTTGGCCAAAGAACTACAATCACCTCCCGGTGACTAACTCTTTTGGTCAATTGTTATTTGACTCCTGGGGCAGCATCTTCAACGGTTCAGGCGCGCCAGTAGCCTATTCAAATGAGAACATACTGTTCAGTTTCAACGGCAAGAATGTAATGAAAGAAAATAAAACTTGGTAAGTGATCTATTGAGCCTTATTTTGCATAAAATTTAGTGTTGATTCTGGCATGGTTCTCTAAACTTAGAACTGTTTTAACATCAGCCTGTCCTTTTCATTCTGTATCAGTTTGGACGTATAGCGATGCACACCCCCACGGCTTCAACGCTATTTGAGGTCGAGTTCTATAACATACGCGGACTTCACTCTAATCTCAACGCTATCCACCAACATCTTGAGACAGCATGGCCGGCATTATTCCTAACGGAGACAGAAATATTTCCCCTTGCTGACATAGGCTACCTTAACCATCTCGGCTACTTGCTCGAATAGTCCTTCAAAGCGTAAGCCGGTGTATGCCTGTATGTTCGAGCAGATGTTTGTTGTCCCTCCTTCCCCGTGGTGGAGGTACACGTCGACTATGGTCTCCTGGCCAGAGCCTCTACAAATCCCACACCGGCGACGAAGAGACAACTTGACTTTTTAAACACCTTAATTGGGCAGCAGATGACGCGCGGGAACAAATTCCCAATGCAGAATTGTGTTTTTGGGAGACATTAATGCCCACCACATTTTGTGGTTAAGTTCCTCCAAAGCCGACCATGCAGGGATCTCTGCTCACACATTCGCTCTTACGTATGATTTGAAGAAACTGGTTGATTAGCTAAACAGGATTTTTGATATTTCAAGTCAAGCGCCGTCTTTACTGGATCTTCTGCTCACGACCCATCCACAGGGCTATATATATCTATCAGGTTGTAGTAAAAGCCCCCCTGGGCTCGTCAGATCACTGCTTGATATCTGTTATAAGCCGTATTTGGTACTATGGGGTCGGCAGATTGGGACGGTATGCGTAACTACTTTGCGTCCGTCCATGGAAGCAGCGCTGCTTCAGCGAAAAGGACCTATCGGCCAGCGCCGTCGCTATTACCGAGAAGATTATAATGGCAGTCACCGCAGTATTATGTAAAGTCCTAGAAAAGGTCCTTAACAGCAATCAGGGCCGCTACCTAGCCTCCTGAGACCCCCGGTATCACCAGTGATACCTTTACTTTGAATTTTTTTTAACGCCGACTTTCGAAATACTCAATTAGATCAAAGTTTAACAGTGAGTGTAGGGTTTTGTTTATTGTTTCCAATACCGGTCATTCGCTAGGTGTTAAAATTAAAATTATTTGCGGTCAGTGCAAGATTGAAAATTGTGCATGAATCGACATGGCGAAATCACTTAAAGGTAAATATTAGTTTTTATTCAAATCTTTGTGTTTTTTTGTTTAAATATTGTAAAATATATTGTAAATTTACCATTAGTGAAAATATTTTGTAGAAAAGTGTAATTATTTTGTATAAATTTTGAGTTTTACTGCAAGTATCATAGGTGATACCTTGGGCAATCAGTACTATTTTTGGAATATTTTTACAGATCTGCTGTCTGATTGAGAAATAAAGCAGATGATCAATTTCTACGAGTCAGATATAGAAAAAGAAGACAGTGATTAAGAAATAGACCTTGAAGAATGCCGAGAGATATCCAACCAGGAAATTTCACTCGCAAATGAAGAGGAATGGAATGATTCGGAAGACGAACCTCTTTCATTTTTACGCACACTTCCTCAATCCTTTAGGAACCTGAGTTTAAGATGGAAACACACGGAAAACTTTGATTTTATTCCATACGAGGAATTGGACATATCATTCCACCCTACTAACATCATTGTCAAGAGTTCTCTAGATTACTTTTCTCGTTACATAGAATAACCGTTTGTTTGAAATTATGGCCGATTGTACAAATGTTTGTAGTGTATCAAGAACGGGCAAAGCTCTGAATACAACGCCTGAGGAACGTAGACAGTTCTTCGGATGTACAATGTCCATGAGTATGCTTGGTTTACCATGAATAAGAATGTATTGGGCCTAAGAAATCAAATTCTACTACATAGCTAACACAAATACTCGTAATCGATATTTTCAACTAAGATCGAATTTAAAGCTTGTAAATGATGGATTAGTTTTACAATATACCAGACAAAACGACAAGTATGGGAAAAAACGTCCTATTGTATCTGTAATAGAAAAGGGTTGGCGTGAAAATAAATGAGATACTTGTGTTGCCATTGATGAGCAAAGAATCCCCTTCACAGGTAAATGTAAACAAAAACAGAACTCAGAAGGCATAAAAGTGTTTCTCATGGCATATTCCAATGGTATGCCACTTGATTTATACTTATATCAGGACAAGGGTACAACTATAGAATCGGCACTGTATCCAACACCTGAAAAACTTGATCTTGGAGGACGTATTGCGCTCAAACTTGTGGATACTTTACCTCCAGGTTCTTCAATTTTTATAGATCTTTACTTAACATCTATTTCACTTTTTGCAATCTATTGGAAAGAAATATAAAGGCAACAGGAACATAAATGAAAAACCGAGTGCCTGAATATCAACAGCCCAATACAAAGAAAAAAATAAGCGAGTGATGTTCAAGTCTGATGCTATGTTACAAAAAGCTGGAAGAGGCAATTTCGATTGCGTTGTAAGAGGTTACAGTAAGATAGCTGTAGTAAAGTGATTAGACAATAAACCAATTTTTGTTATAGTAACTGATGCAGCTCATTTAGAATCTCTCTGTCGTTTTTCAATGTGAATTCAAATTAAAAATTATAAGAGGAACAATCTTGTTTTAAGCTGATGCAATCCCAAGGTATCAATCGTGATACCATCCCTTACGTTAATTAGGGAGGGGGTGGATTTTTATTCCTTGTATTGTAATAACAACCAGCGACACCTTGCTTTAAAAAGTAGCAATTGTAAAATGTGGGTTGAATACTTCAGTCTTGGGTCTCAGGAGGCTAGAGGATCACTCTCTGATTAATGATCGTCAGTATTGTTTTAGACTGAAACGATCGATGGGTGATCTTCTAGCGTACTTTTTTTTTTTTACGGCTTTCCCACTCAGTGGCAGGACTTTTTTATGCTTTTTTGGTTTTTCTTTCTTCTCTAGAGTTTTTCTTTTCTCTACTTCGTATTTTTATATTCGAGTTTTTCTTTTCTCGTTTTTATTCTTTTTACTTAACGTTTCTACAATTCCTATTTTCTATTACATTCTTATTTTCTTACAATTTTACTAATTTATCTAGATTTTTATAAGTCACTGCTGTTTACTATTCTATAATTTAATTTTCTCTTACATTTAATACTATTCTTATTAGATTCATTTTAACTTATACAATTCTTTTCTTAAGATATTATTTCCTTTTCTTTTTTGATTACAGTTTTCTCCTTAATCTATTTACATTCACTTTTTATATTACATATTTTCTTTGCTACATTTCTTTGTCTTTATTTAGACTGTCGTTTGTATACTACTTATACTATTTACATTTGCTATATTATATTTACAATATTTACTTATTTCTATTTTTACTTTTCTTATTTATGCTACGCGCATTTTATTCTACTCAATTTATCTTTCACTTATTTTCTATTAATATCTCTATCTCTTATTGTTACTACAGTATTTTCTATTTTTACTGCTGGAGTCCCTCTGTGGTCACTTTTTACCTTCCGAGTTTGGGTGGTAGCCTCTAGAGCCCGGTATGCCTCCGCAAGTGGAGTTTCAAAAAATATTTTTTTGCCTCCATTTGCTTTGGCCTCGTGGCTACCTTTGGCCTCCACTCGCACTCCCTCCGTTGTTCCAGGAAGGGGCTTCAGCAGTCTTATCCCTAATATTGATTCCCTTCTTTCCTCAAGAAAGTGGAACCAATGCCATCTCTTTTCAATATATTTTGTTATCTTTATCCAAATTCTTTTTTCTACCCTATATATTTCTTTCTGCTCCTTTTTTCCTCTCCCCGTTCTGTTGTTGCCCACAGCACCCTTAGCAATATGCCACCTTCGCTCTTGCAATTTTATCCCAGAGTATTCTCTGTGGGCAGTCATTGCTAAAGGTATTGTGTTCATTCTCTTTTAACTCAGCCCTTTTGCAATTTAGGCAACTAGGAGCGGAATTTTGTTTGGGCATGCGGCGTATAAGTGGTCCCCCCCCACAGTGGCTGCAGCTGTTTTGCGCCTCCGTGCAGACCCGTCTGATGTGGCCGTAGCCCAGACAGCGGGAGCACTGGATTAACGGGGTCTGATCTTCCACAGTGGAGATTCCCCACTGTAGTTGAAGAGTCCCCGCGTCTGTCAGCTGCCGCCAAATTGTGGGAGCCACTCTGACCACCACGTGTGCCACATGCGGATTTCTAGTTGCCTTTTCGTATATAACTTCCATATCCTCTTCCTTAAACCTTTCCTCCCTGTTTATTCTTCCAATTTTTCTTTTTATCCCTTCTATCACTTCCTCTTTCTTTCTCTCTCCTCTTACGTTCCTCACTATCACTAATGGATTTTTATTCTTTGCCCTTTCCACTTTTAGTATTTTGTTTCTTTCGATCTTCTCTTTCAATTTCTCTGCCTCACTTTCCCTTGCACACCCTATAATTACCTTTTGCCCATTCGCCTTTCTCACCCTTCGCACTTCGTTCAACTCCCCTTTTTCGTCGACCGACTTCCTCACCGCGTCGAATACCTGGTCACTCGTGAGCGTTTCGTCGGTCGACGCCACTATGATTGAATGTAGTGTCTTGTTTTGGGGTGGAACGCTTCTCACCTTTTCCGCATACGTTTCTTCCTTTCTTTCTTCCTCTATCTTAGTTCCCAGCTCAGTCAGTTTCTTTTGCTCTTCTTCCATTCGCTTTCCCACTCTTTCTTGCATCTCTTTGATCACTTCCAATCTTCCCTTTCCTTCCTCTATCCCTCTATTATTTTCTATTATTATCTCTTTCAGCTTTTCTTGTTCCTCTTTCATGTGCTTCTTGCTTTCGACTTGCATACTCATCATTTTCTCCATTTTCTCTATCCTGTTTTTACTAACTTTCATTTCTTCCTTTTCTTCTATTAAAATTTTGTTAAACTTCTTTTGTTCCTCTCTTGTCTCTTTTACCTCTTCTTTAATCTTCAGCAGTATTCCCATAATATCTGATACTAGCGTACTTGACTCATATATGGGGTGTAGCTATCGACAAGCGTGGAGAGTCGTTGGCTATCAGCTTTGACATTAGCATGGCGTTCGACAGGGTCTGGCACAAAAACTTTCTTTCCATACGGTCTGCCGGCCCAGTTTTGTTTCTGGGTAGCTGACTTCCTGCATGAGCGTAGAATTCGTGTCCTTACGGACGGTAGTAGTTCGCAGTTCATATCAGTGAATGCCGGCATTCCTCAGAGTTCCGTCCTATCCTCCACTATCTTTCTGCTGCATATCTATTACTTAACGAATATTCATTACTATGCAGACGATAGTACAGTGCATGCAGGGTATCTCAGAAAAGCAGCGGCTGGACCTGCTGGCTGGTAACCAAGCAGAAACGGGAACATCTTGTCATCGAACTCAATCAGGCATTGGACTACATTTGTGAATGGGGTTGCGTGGAAATATTACTCGCACCTCTGGGATGGCTCCGCCAAGTACTTGCTCGATGCTTTGGATAGGTAACAGCGGCGCGCGATTCACATCATAGGCAATGAGGAGGTGACTAAACACCTAGAGCCTTTTCAATCACGCCGTGACGTGACGTCACTAAGCGCGTTCTATCGTCTGTACTACGGTGAGTGTTCTGAGAAGTTATTTTCTCTTATTTCATCTTCCTCTTTCCTTAAAGAGCATCCCGCGCGCTGGCCTACGTGGTCACCGTCTAACTGTGGCCATGATTCCAACGCGAACAAAGAAATTTCGTGACTCATTTCTTTGTCACACTATCTGTAAATGGAATACTGTGCCCGCTCACGTATTCCGTCCTTTTTACAACCTGGGGGATCCTTTTAAAAAAGGTGTGAAGAAGCTACATGCAGGCAGGTAAGGCTCACCTTACCTGCCTATCTTCACATCTGGACTTCACCGTCATTTAACGTCAGGCAGGTTGATGACAGGGATCGACGGCAGCAGTTGCACTGCCGTCGGCAGTGAGGCGCTCGTGTATATTATTATTCATTAGAGTGGCAGTTTACATCGCTATTCATATTAAACCTAAGTGTTAAATGACAGCAGTATAACTCTAACATAATCTATTATATTTAGTATATGAAAAGGAGGTGCTGTCTTTGATTTGGCAAATAAGGACAGGCATGTCAAGTGCAAAAATATCTAAAAAAAAAAGGATTGGAATTTATATTTTGCTTATTACTTAAATCTAATCTTTTGGTGAATATTTTGTAAGTGCTTAATTATAGGTACTACTACTTACAGTGTTTGTGACTTTTTTATTTATTTGACAATTTCACTTTTGTCAATCGTTTGAAGTTATTATGAAAATGGCATAACAACATTTATACGTTTTCCTTTAGATTGTGTTATTTGGAAATATTAAGCTCGTTTTTTTCAAAGCTATTGTGAAAATGTTCATTGTATTCCACTGGAGGTGATTACTACACTTGAAAATAGAAAATTCTTTACACCTCCATCTAATGCTAGATGTTATAAAGGATTTTTTATTAAATATGTACTATATTTTCAAGAACTTTATTGTGGATTAAAAAGAAATATTAGTACCTAATCTATGAGATAAAAATACAGTAAATGCGGCATTAGTCAAGTTCAATACGTTTTAAAGATTTTATGATATAAAAGTACAACATTATTCATTTATTTATCTTTCTACAGGCCAACTAAGGCAGTATGGCATGGCAGCACTGTCACTGGTGACGTCACTCCAGGTGGTTTCTGTAACAAATGGGAGAGTGATAGTTCTAGCAGCTACGGTGTTGCATCGCCTTTATCCAGTAAAAAACTCTTGGCACAAGATAGGTCAGTATAAAACCTATTAAAATTTCATACTAGTTACTTATATCTTCTGCAAGTCGGGCTTAAAATATTCGGGCGGTCGGTCGGTTGGGCTTATAAACCTTCCTCTTGTATCATTCTATATATTGCTGTAAAACTTTTATAACAATAAATAAGAACCGACTTCATAAAAACAAAACCACTAAAAAAGTAAGAAATAATGCATAATTTTTTACTTATCTACATTTAAGGTCAAATTAACATTTGGAGCCGGTGACATGCATATTGAATTGATAGATCTGAGTTGCCATTTACTACTTGGATTGGCATGGCACCGACTTCAAATGTTAATTATATAGATGCTCTATTAATTGCACGGAAGTGCCACAATAAATATCTACTACATATGGTAGAAACGATCGTCGCTACACCGTTTTCTTTGTGTGGTTTATTTAGATCAAAAATGTCACGATAATTTTTAATTATTATATTGGTTGGTATTACAGATATTCTTGCGACACGAGACTTATAGTGCTATGCGTTGGGTTCAGCAAGAAGATGAAGTGACAGGCAAGTCATTTGCTATTATTCGTTTATGTTCTTTTTTATTTTAAACATGAATTATTTTATCTGATGGTTGGTATACATGTTTTATATGTGTTAATTTAAAGCATTGTATTTTTGGTAATAATTTTAATTAATTTTCATCTCAATATAAACTTCAAGTTTCGTAAAAAAACACACATTTCCGATGTCGTCAGAAGAAAGATACCTAATTATTATATTAAAATATCATTTTCAGAAACATCCTACGAAGGCGGCACTCGAATGCTGAAAGAAGATTGTATTTTCGAACGCCGTAGCATTATCTCTGTTACAATAGAATAAGGTATATGACGTGCAGTTACAGCAAAAAAGTTTACCTAAATGTTTAGGTACCGATTGAAATATCTTAGGAAATGCACATGCTGTAATTTTTACGAAATACTTTTGCAGGCAGCTCATTCCCTTCGTTAGCTGTTCGCTTGATTCAGTGTTGCCATGTCAAATATTAGTCAACGGTGATACACCTCAAAAAATACGGTACATTCAATAAAAATACGGTGATAGACACTGGGGAAAAACGGTGTTAATTACGGTGCAATAACTTTAAAGAAAATTGTCATTTTAGAGTTAAAAATAATTAAGTTATATTAAAACATTTAACAAAATTATACTGCAAATGTATTCATATTTTTAATAGTATCTTTACCAATCACGAAATTCTGGTTTCACTAACCATTCTCTATGTTTTTATTTCTTTGGCACTTCCACTTCAGATTATGAATCACGATCACTTCCACTCATTTTTTAAGATCTAGATTTAAATAAGTAAATTAAAAACGTTGAAATTTCGAACACTCAACAGAAATAAAACAGACAAACAATAATAATTGATGCAAATACAAAAATCCAACCAAATGTAAATCTTGTCCTAAGAATTGTGCAATAAAGTATAAAGTGCCTATTTAATTTTATAGTATTTGAGTGCAAGGGGAATCCCCAGGTAAGAATATAAAGGTGTTTAGGGAATGGGTTACTTTCACAGCCATTATTTCGTCGTACGGAGGTTGCACTTATAAACTAAAATATGAGGTTTCTTATAATTAATTAATTTGTACTTTAAACATTTCTTGACAAATGCAAATTACGGTAGATCGTTGTTATGCTCTAACGGTAGGTGGTAGATTTTTGCTGAGTACGGTGCATTTACCGTAATTACGGTGCACATGGCAACACTGGCTTGATTAAAGAGTACAAACAAATGAATGAGACTGAACATGTTTAGTTGCAAAGATGACCAATGAAATTTACTTAATATTATTAAGTATTCAATTGCTTATTACCTGGCCACAAAATATTACCTTATCTAGTATTATTTTTTAAGTTAAGTAATTACTTATGTGAAAATGTGTTTACTATTCCAAACTGTATATGCATTGAAAATATAATTATATACCATAATTGTAAATGAAATATTTGATATAATCGTGCCAGTTTAAAGTGTAACAGATATAATTATAGGTATAATTTTTAGGTATATATTTTCACATCTAAGTATAAAAACCGTGCAAAATGTATTTATTTCAATTGCTACCTCAGTTTAATGTAAAATGGTGGATATATAGAATAGTCGGGATCCAGTGTCAATACACCTTAGTATATTTTGAATAGTAGCTTTTGAATCGCATGTTATAACAATTTTTAATATTCATAAATAGATTGCCGAAGACTATAATTACCTTGTTATTTTTAAGTTATCTAGTGATAGTAATTTATTACGATATATTGGATACTTTATGTCGACATTCGAATGGCTAATTATGACAACTTTTAGAAGCATAGTAAAAATGTATTATTAATGTTATTTATTTATAAATAATAATAGTAATTTCGAAAGTAATCTAGACAAACTTAGGCTTGTGTTTGGATGTCGATTGTCGATAATATTAATTTACGTCGGTACTATGGCGTATAATATTGTGACATAATTAATTAAAGATTTACTTATACCGAGTACAAGGCAGACTTAGACAAATGCAAATTTAAAATATGTACGATGCTTTCCTCTAAAGTATTTTAAGTTTTAACAAGTCATAGGTTAAATTTAGTACGTATTAGTTAAAATTTAAGTATTTTTAAATATTGTTCTAAGTATGTGCCATAATATCTTTTCTACTTAGCTTATTTATAAATTTTTCACGGAATATGTAGAATTAAAAAAGTGATGCTTTACTCTAATGTTTTATTGGCGTGTGTATGTGTTGATCTTGTTATTGCTTATTTCATTTCCATCCTTCCCCGTTATTTATAATTTTTCATTTTGTTGGTAAATGTCCGGTTAAAACTCTGCAGGTTTCGAATACATAAATGTGAAAAAAATATTGCGGTGGATGTGATAGCGGCTTTTGAGTTGCAATGTTTAAGGGTACCTACATCCAGTAAATTTTCAAATTTCATCTGCAAGGAGTTCTCCTAAGGTGGAGAACCTAAAAAAATATTTTTTACTATCGTTTTCGTATAGAGCGGAGCATATACTTTCTTCGTCTGATTTTAAGTGTAAGTGAAGAAGCCCCTTCGTGAAGATAGTGCTCATGCAGCAGAAAAGTGTACCTGCAGCTCAAAAATGGTTCACGTGCGTGCACGTGTTCTATAGAACATCCACAAACAAAAACGCAACAGTACCAGAAGAAAGTCCTACTTTACTATCGTCTTAAAACACAACAGTACGCCTAGCACGAAACATTATCGAATTCGAACAGTTTGCAAACCGAAATGTCAATGTAAAATTTGTATGGAAACTTAAACAGCAGCGGCAAAGTACGTAACGAGAACTAAAAATCAGTACACATTTGACACTGACATTTCAGGCTCGCAAACGATACGAATTCAATATTGGTTCATGCTAGGGGTACCATAGTACAGTCAATCTGTCGAAAAAAATATCGTTTCAGTGAAAAAAAAACCTAAAGGGTAAATCTTGTTTTTTCTATTGCCAAATGACGTCAGTAAGCCACCTTGGCGATGGGCATGTTCACTCGTAGGCGTTTTTTGAATAACTCAAAAAAACCGTCAAAAATTTTTTGAAACGCATTTTTTTTGTTTTGTATGCATTTATGAAACTTTTTTTTTGACCATAATTGTAGAGGGCGTTGTGTGCTACAATTTATGTCATTGTTACAATCTCGTACAACAAAAAATGCGCATTGTAGGTGGCGCTAAAGTCTCAAAAAAGTGTTTTTTCACTTTTTCACCCTGAAAATATCATTTTAATGGAAAACTTTAAATGGCAAAGTTGTTTCGTATATAATTACCAACAACTTTTGTATAAACATTTTTTTTGTATTACTTACCGTTTTCAAGTTATAAATTGCGCAGGTATGAAAAATTCAATAGAGCGGTTTTGGGCAGTCCACGTACACATTTGCAGTGCACATTTCAATGTACTGGATGTTTCAATGTAATGGAAAACTTTAAATGGCAAAGTTCATTTAAAGTTTTCCATTAAAATGATATTTTCAGGGTGAAAAAGTGAAAAAACACTTTTTTGAGACTTTAGCGCCACCTAAAATGCGCATTTTTTGTTGTACGAGATTGCAACAATGACATAAATTGTAGCACTCAACGCCCTCTACAATTATGGTAAAAAAAAAAGTTTCTAAAATGCATAAAAAACAAGATAAATGCGTTTCAAAAAATTTTTCAAAAAACGCCTACGAGTTGAACATGCCCATCGCCAAGGTGGCTTACTGACGTCATTTGGCAACAGAAAAAACAAGACTTACCCTTTAGGTTTTTTTTTCACCACTCAACCTACAGATTGACTGTACTACCATAAGGAATTCGAATGCCAGTATATCGAATGCCAGTTGATCGGTGACAATTTATCAAAAACAAAATGATCGAAGTGTCAATTATCAAAGGCAGGATTGGTTTATTAAAGAAAAAAAATAATGTAAATCCAGAATTCTAGCAACAAAATTATATTTATATGTCAAATTGTCAACACTTGTATTGCAACCTGCTATTTGAAATGAACCTATTGCATATCGATTTATCGAAATTTTGATCTAATGTCAGCGATTGTAATTTGAAATCGAATTTCGATCAAATAGCAAATCGATATATCGGGATTTCGGTGAATTGTCACCGATCAACTGGCATTCGATATGGCGAAGAAAACCTCTTATTGCAATAAAAACCCAAGCGGTCTCACGAGACCGCGTTGGGCGGTGTCGGGTGGCGTCGGTCTCCTCCGGCACTTCCTGGGCTCCGCCGATTTAGAAGTGTCGTTGCCTTACAGCCCAGGAGATGCCATGGGAGGCTCGGGCTTGGGGTCTCGATAGTATGGAAATGGAATGGAAAATGGAATTTTGATTAATGCACCCACCTAGAAAGAGAAGGCCGGCGATTTCTCATCCACAGTATATGAAGATGGACGAGTTAATAAGACGATAGTAAAATAAGCTCTTCAATTTGCTATTACGCGCAGGATACTTTCTAATTTACATCTAATATATAAAATTCTCGTGTCGCGGTGTTTGTGGTTAAACTCCTCCGAAACGGCTCGACCGATTTTCGTGAAATTTTATATGCATATTCAGTAGGTCTGAGAATCAGATGTAATCTATTTTTCATCCCCCTAAATGTTAAGGGTACCCCCCCCCCCCCCCATTTTTATTTAATTACAGATAATTTTTGGAACGAAAGTTCCTTACGGCAGGCTTGGAGGGGATAGGGATTTTGCTGCGCGACCGAACTGAAAGAAATGTGAAAGTAAAACCGTAAGAAAAAATGCGTGGAATAAAACCGTTAAATGAGACGTGCGCAGGCGCGACGAAGTTCCTTACGGCAGGAGAGAGAGCGACGAGGGTGCATCACTGAAATATTGTGATACTACACCAACACTGAATATGTGTGAAGTTATAGGGAGTGGTAGAGCGACGAGGGTGCATCACTGAAATATTGTGATACTACACCGACAGTGTATATGTGTGAAGTTATAGGGGGTGGTAGAGCGACAAGGGTGCATCACTGAAATATTGTGATATTACACCAACACTGAATATGTGTGAAGTTATAGGGGGTGGTAGAGCGACGAGGGTGCATCACTGAAATATTGTGATACTACACCAACAGTGAATATGTATGAAGTTATAGGGGGTGGTAGAGCGACAAAGGTGCATCACTGAAATATTGTGATATTACACAAACACTGAATATGTGTGAAGTTATAGGGGGTGGTAGAGCGACAAGGGTGCATCACTGAAATATTGTGATATTACACCAACACTGAATATGTGTGAAGTTATAGGGAGTGGTA